AGAAATACCGTTTTATCATTTTGAAACTTTAATACCGTGATAGGAAATAGGGTGAGGGGTCCTTTACTTGTTTTCGGGATCCGAATACGATTCACAGTGCGCCTACAGGCCGTCCCTATTTTTCCCTGAATTTTTCCCGGGGAACTGAAACACACTAACAGTACCTGCACGTGTTCCAAAAAATCTCAAATTAGGCTCAGGGCCCCTTTTTGGCCAATATCGCAACTCCGGCACGGCGGCTCCGCCGTGCTCCGGCGACGGCGCCGCCGCTTGCGGCGGCGATTCGCCTCGGGTTGGCTATTTTCGGCCGTTTCTGGCCGAATTCGGCCACACTCGCATCGATCCCTGCGAGAAAACAACCCTAGGGCCCTCGGGGGGCCAAAAAATCACGGAGAAGCGGAGCTTACCGGCGGCGGCGCTCTCGGGTGCGGCGGCTCTCCGGCGAGGTTCGGGGTTTGGTGATTCGGCTCCGATCAACCTGTAGAGAAAAGAATGGTGATCACGGTGATATCAAAATTGCATCAAACGGAGGCCGGGAAGGGCCTCTTCGGAGGCAAAAACCGAGAGGGGGCGCGGCGGCGCCGCTGGTCTTCGGCCGCGTATTCCGGCCGTTTGGCCGGGATTTTGGCTTCGATTTGGCTACAGGAGGAATCAGCGTGGAAAACAAGTCGGGAGTATGAAATTTACCTCGATCGGCGGTCGGAAGTTCCTCCGGTGCGGCGGCGGGTGGCGGCGGTCGGCCTCTGGTTCGTCTTCTCCGGCGAGCGGCAGGCGGCTAGGGTTTGTGGTCTGGTGTGGGGGTTCTATTTATAACCCCTTACCTTTTGATCTCAGCCGTCCATTTCGTTTTAATCTGAGCTGTTCGTTTTTTATTGAATCTGGGCCGTCCGTGCGATTGCATCTGGGCCGTCCGATCGCGCGATTGATCTGGGCCGTCCGATCGCACCCACGCGGATCGCCAACGTGGCCTCTTTTCGAAGCGACGTGGTCTTGCCACGTGGCAGGCCCCGGTTGGCCGGGACTGCTGACCGGGCCTGCTGACGTGGCTTTTTTTTTTTTCTCCTTCTCGATCCGGGCGCTACAATAATAATCAAGAAGACTAAAGCAGGTGAAAGAAGAAAAATTAAGGGTTCCCCATGGCCATGGCCATGTGGCATGGTATATACATTGGACAATCTTATTATGGTCTGTAAAGTATACATATGTGGGTGCGTGTGTATAAAGGAACTAGATCCATGGATTTGTGTCAGTTTCAGTTTGCCTCGAGTCTCGAATCAGACTGACCTGGATACTTTTGGTCTAGTAGAGTCTAGAAATTTTTGCTACCTTTTTTGTGGTCCAATCCAAAACGGTCCAGTTCAGTCTAGTTCCGCACTGTTACTCATCCCTACATCTCACTAAATAGTCCCTAATACGCACTTGAATTAAACCAAAGGAAATTCCTCACCATCCTCTCAATATTCTCCTTACTGACTTAGGAGCTTTGAATAAGAGATAAAATAGTGGACAGCACCAAAAAGACACAACTAATAAAAGTGACCCTGCCTCCAAGAAAAAAAGACTACCTTTCCAACACTCTAGAAACTTAGATATCTTTCGCACTGGTGAATCCCAAAAGGAAGCCATCTGAGGGTGAGTCCCAAAGGAATTCCATATAGGTGACATCCTACTTCTAAAACATCACACCCATTGACTCTACCAGCTTGTAACCACTTGGTCCTCAACATTTATCCTTTCAAATATGTGCAAAATTATAAACATTTGAAAACTTAACACTATCAT